ATAAAAGCAGAATACATGGAACAATCACCGAAAATATGCTTAAGATGCTCAGCTGATTGACTGATTGAGAATGCATTTTTTGGAATGGAAGAATGGTGTGTTATGGAATGCTTTCCTAATGTATATGGTTATTAAGCAATAAAATTGCATCAAATTTTGATTCTAAACTAACGGATAATGTGAACAGACACATTCAAATTTGATATCAATTGAACTCCGATCACCAAAACATAAATGTTTTACCTTATCAACTACTACAAAGAATACTTCGAAGAGTATTCTTCGACCCAAAAGCGAAAACAAATGTGATTATATTCACATGCATCTTTCTACAGCCCTCTATTGGTTTTTTTTTAAATCTGCTTCAAGACTGACTGCTTATCTTGACGTTTCGTCGTCACAACGGCGCCGTATTATAGTCTGTGACCTTCGTCAACGATTAGCATTTTTTCAACTTCGCATACAATAAACAGCTTAGTTTTAGTTTGTTACAAACAATCAATACCATATAATCTCAAGTAAATACCCCACTTCATTTCTATATTCGCCCTCAAACCTCCTCTCCTTTCACCGGTTTCCAAGTTGCTAATTTCCTCCTCCCTCAATTCAGTTTCCACTTTCGAATTTCATCGGCCTCCAAATTACAGAATTTTTGCAATATTTATTTCAGTTTATGAGGTGTCTAATGAAAAAATCCAAAATCAATTTACAAGTAATGTTTCTGATCTGATTTGGTGGAATAAACGCATAATATACATTCACTCAACAAAATATCATAACAACGTTGCTTGAAAAGTATGCAACCGACTTGATACGTATGCTGCTACAGCGTTTGTTAACGTTAATAACTGAGTGAATTTCAAATTATCCCCAAACAATTTAATAACTGTTTTCCAAACATAAAATATGAGCAGCTGAATAATTAAACCAAACATCATTTCAATGAACGTATCAGTTTAATATTACAACATAAACACTTTCTGTACTCATGCCTTGACGAAATAAAGACAAAAAGGTAATCCAACAATGATGATCAAAACGAGAGGTTGTATAATACATTTCTTTGTGATAATACATAGTTCCAATTTTGCCAGCTGAGCAAGAACCATAAAGCAGACATGAATGATAATCATACCGATAAAAAATTGAAAAGTGCTGAAATGCTAGATACTACATAACTGCAGAAAGTACTAGATGAACGCATTCGATATCGTAACGTTAAAGATACGAAACAGAATGTGAATAAAAAAGATGCAAATTACAATCAGAAAGAAAGTGATAATGATTAAAATTTTCTCAAATTTTTCTTTCATAATTTGATTTTCAAATTTTCTTCAAAAAATTTGGTTCACAGATTGATTAAAATCATTCCGAAGAATATGTTTTCCAATATTGCTCAGTTGTCTGGCAATATTGGATTTCGCAGCAGTTGGCGATGCACCCTTTCAGAAGTAATTGCCCCACAAGTTTGGAAATCAATTTCCTCGGCAGTATCTCTTCAATTCATCCTGCTCATTTCTGGAACTGCTTCATAATATAGAATGAAGTGTCACGTTATGCTACACCGAATGAAAGTCGCAGCAAACTAGCCCTTCCCACTGCTTAATAGAGCATGAACTGTTGCTATGATGGGAGTATAAAAATCAACATGAAGCTGTACGATGAAATCAAATGACTGAACATCAATGGATGAATTTTCATTCGAAATCACAGTTTATCTTGAGTGGAACCATTTGGAAGACTATGAATGCTCATTGGATTTACGGTGTTGATAAGTTGTTCATTCAACTGAATTTGATATCATCTTAAGGCAGAGTTTCTCAACCGAGGGTGCCGTACTCCCTGAGGATGCGAGAGAGGTTGGGATAAGAGGGGGTGAGTGAGGGATGGAAATAAGGTTTTAGTGTAAAGTAGACGAGGATGGATTTCAACATATATATTTTTGAAGAGACAAGAACATACTGTAAAGGCATACATAGACACAACAGCACTCACTGTAGCGGATGAGAGATACAGTATGGATGTTGTGAGGGATGCGAGGACGTTTTAAGTATTGCTACAGGGGGTACCAAGACAACTAAAAGTTTTTCAAGGGGTGCGAAGGGGAAAAAGGCTGAGAAGCACTGTCTTAAGGGATCTATTTATGGAAGAGTTGAATTTATCTTTTGAAAAAATTCATTTGTTTGTTTTGAATTTGTTTTGAAAGCAATTCCCAGTCAAAAATAATTCGAATGCATGTCATTACCAAGTTCATATGATATTGTTATTACAGTGAGTTTGGAACGAAAAACTATTTCATGTATGTATTTATTTATTGCAATTGCGACGTTGAAAACTATGTCATTCGCATTTACGAATAAAATTACTCCTATTTGGTTCAAAAAATCAGAGAAACAAAGAACGAAATTTGAATGATAATGAACCAAAATACGTATTTGAAAGTCAATCCAAAAAAACATTTGATTGACATACCCATGATTTTTAAATTGTTCACTGATAAGAAGCAATGATAGGCATAAAAGGACCGAATGAAGCAGTATAACCACATTTACTAGGAGTGTGCAGTAAAATGAAGCTCCTAATACTCCTGTGTGTCTGCGTGCTCGCAGTAACTGCTCGTCAAAGCTGGGTTGATGTCGAGCGTGAGAAGATTGACGATCAGTACTATCAAGCTGGACGTGAATATGTCTATTTGTACAACGGACAACTGTCGGCAGGTGTTCCAGAGGAAAGCGATTCGCATTCTTCAACTCGATATGAAGCAGTCTTCTCGCTTACCTTCCCTGAGGACGAGCACAACGCTGTTTTCTGCATCAAGCACGTAAGATTCGCTAGTCGAAACGGTGGACTTGCTAAGCATCGTGAAGTGCAACCGTTCGAAGCGTTCGATGAAATCAAGCTTTCTGAGGGTGCTCGCAAAGCCCTCACTGCTCCACTCCGCTTCAAATACGATGATGGCGTGATCGGTGAGATCGAATTTGATGGTGATGATGCGGACTGGTCAGAGAATATCAAGCGTTCTATCCTGAACTTGATTCAGATCAATATGAAGAAGGGTTTGCAAAAAGAAAGTCGGGAGGACGATTCATCTGAAGAGAAAATCGACATCAATAAAGAAGAAAATGCAAATTTCTACGTTGTGCATGAGGTAAATTTGCATTCATATCCAATGAATTTTGCGTAAAACTGATTTTCGAAATTATTGTACCTTCATTCGATGATGCAGTTTAAAGATCAAATCATACAGACCTCTCTAGAAACGAAAGAATAACACTGAACATTTACTAAATTTTGTGTTTCACCAGTCTTTCGAGCGTTAAACCTGTTATTGCTAGTGCAGTGACAGAGCCAGAATAATTTTAGTTGGAACTAATATTGTGTGTAGCTTAATACAGAATCGCTTAAAACAAGTGTGGAGAATGTAGCAATGAATCTTGAGGTATATTCGTGAGTTAATAACTATGAATTCAGCGAACAATGGAAGGTGACTGCGAAACAACATACACATTCAACAAAAGCCCAAGAGATGATAGCGATATAATGAGAATTACGAAGTCGATAAATTACAACAAGTGCACAAAACGGGTCGATTTACGATATAACCATCGTTTTGCTCAACCCAAATGCGGTCACTGCGAGCTGAATTACGACAAGGAGGATGGATTGATGCCTAGCACAGCTATCACTTACGAAGTACTCGGCAATAGAGAAAAATTCCTCATCAAAAATGCCGACATTAAGACTGATTACATATTCTCTCCACTCAATCCCAAAGATCTTGTGTTGGAGACATTCAGTACCGGTACCCTCAGACTGCTGAAGGTTAAGAGCTTATCAGAGGTTGTTATGCCAATGAACGGCAAAACCGAGACTCTTCTTTACATTCCGTTACGTGTGATCAGAGTGGAACGTTTTATTATGGTCGGAGATGAGGAATTGGATGAGAAGCACGTATATTCGCATGTCAAATACAAGTATGAATTGGCTGAACAAATGGTCAGACGCATTGCTCGAGCAACATCAAATCCAGAGCTTGGTGTTGAGCCGGAAGCAGCACATCAGCTCGCTCGTCTTGTTGAACTGTTTCGATCATGCACTAGCAAAGATGTGCAACTTATCAGTGATGGTCTTTTCGATGCTGAAGGTAAATTCGACAAAAAGACTCATCAGAAAATCCGTGATATCATTTTGGACGGATGGTCTATTGTATCCACCTATGAAACAATGTATGCTATTGTTCAGAAGATTCAGAATCGACAAGTGAGTACCTTGAAAGCAGTTAAAACACTGCACAATATAATGCTCAATGACATCGCCATCTCCGAGAAACAAGTCGATTTGATCATGGGATTATGCACACACGAAGTCAGTGAGCGCAATCCAATGCTCAGACAAGGATGTCTTCTTACTGTGGGTGGAATGATTAGCGGTCTCTGTGCAAGAATCAATGACGAACAAGCAGTTGACTCCACTGAAAACAGATGTCCACTTGGAATGAAGCAGAAATATCACAGGGTATCGATTATTAATTCTTTATCATTTTACATTGACCACGTCCAGTTATCAACGAAACCTCAGCAAAAAGAACATTCCTTCAAAATTCACCCTTTGATTTCAAAAACGGTTCATTTTGTTTCAGAGATGAGCTCATTCATCACTGCACAACAAATATCTTATTCCTATGGTTAATTCATTCTCACAGCCTAAGCCTTGAACTTGCAGATGCTGATTGAACTCTATCGTAACGCGAATACAAGATACGAGAAATTGTTGGCACTTAGAGTGATTGGCAACGCTGGACTCGATCTCAGCGTGTATGAGCTCGAGAAGATCATCAAGGATCGTTCGCAAGAGAGAATCTATCGCGTGCAGGCCATTGACTCGCTCAGACGTTTACGCCCAGTGATGCCACGTAAAGTGCAGAAGATCCTTATGCCATTGTTCAAGGATAGAACTGAACATCCGGAAATCCGAATCGCAGCAATTGTACAAGTTATGCACACTTTACCGGATCGCAGTATTCTGGATCAGATCGCTCAAGCACTCTACTATGAAACTTCACGTCATGTGCTCACGTTCGTTTCAACAATGCTGCAGTCGTTCGAAAAATCCGAGAATCCTTGCGAAAAACAACTGTGAGTGTTTGTTCATTGGTTTGATGCATTTGGTTATGTTGCTCTTTAAAGTGTACAAATACAGACGAAAATAACAGATGAGATAATCATCGCACATGAGATCACCGAATGATTGATATCATACAGTTAGTTTACAGAGCATTGAACTATCGAACTATCAAATAAAAAAAACTAATTGATAGCTTACTGGTAATATGCAATAACCTCATATAATTTCAGCGCTGAAGATCTGGCGGTTGCTCTTCGTCTTGTACATGTTGATACGACACGATGGAGTGATAGCAAATACATGCATATGCCGGTGTATAGCGAGGCTCACAAAGCTGGTGTCACATTCGACTTTGCGACAATATTCGCCAATGACAGTATCCTGCCACGTCATTCGATTATGAGCTTTGACACGTTGCAGTTCGGTCAATGGAGAAAAGAGACTGCACAACTGGGCTTCATTCAGTACCATCTTGAACAACTCATTGAGAAACTGATGGCAACAATTGAACGTACTGCAACGAGACATCACTCAACTCGATCTGGTCCAGCACAAATTCTTCGCTCATTGTATGAAGGCCTTAAGATTAGAAGTCGTCGTGAAGAAGCAGAAGCACATGCTCTTTTGTATGTGCGTCGTTTCGGTATGGACCTAGCATTGGTGCCGTTGGATGCAGAAACCCTTCCCGAACTTTTCACGAATGGTGAAGAGATTGATATAGACCGTTTCATTGCGCGCTTGACCCGTGGTTATCACTTCAGCGTTTATTTCGGTCATTTCTCACATGAGAATTACCATAAATTGCCAACAACTGTTGGCATACCACTTCATTTCTGCAGCAAAATGCCAACTGTTATCGGTTTGGAAGGAGACGTGAAACTTTCATTCGAACCTGAACAATTCGCAAATGTCAGGTCGATAAAACTCGACATCAATGTAAGACCAGCATTTACCGCAGCACACCTTGCCGAGATGTATAGCGTTAATCCGATCAACATGATAAGGCCCAAGATGATTCAATTGGTTAAAGTGAATTTGCCAATCAACGCAAGATTGGAAGTTAACTTTGGCCAAAAGACCGAAGTGAAGTGGATCTGGAAAGTTCCAGATGAGAAGAAGCAAATCTTATTGGCACAAACTCGCACCGTAACCAGCACAAGTAATCCACGCAATTCAAAGACATTCATAGAACCAAAAGACAAGACAGCTCATCTCAAAAACCAAATTCATCACGTTATCTCACCTGAGAAGACTATTGGCAAGAACTGGCTGGGTGCATTGATGCATATTCGCGGTCAGTGGCATGAAAATGCCATACAAATGCTTAAAGAAACACCAGTAGCATTCCTTGCCGGTGAGAATGAATTGGAAGTGACAATCGAGAAGGATCGTGATGCACCAACAAATGAAATTGTTACCAAATTCGAATTCGAATTACTGAGAAATCACAAGATGACAATGAAACACTTGAAAGATTTCTATTCTGATGATGAATATGAACGTAAGGTATTCGCTAGTGAGACGAAAGATGAGCACACTCATACTCATCGATACGGTAGAGATGGACGAATGGATCAGGACGAGTTAGTAATTTTTCGCCACTTCACTTATCCATTCAGCAGTGCCCGTTTTTATTATAATTATTATCAACTTATTTGTGCAAAAAAACCTCGAAATCTACGAAGACAATCACTAACAAATTTAGATTCAAAGGATTTATACCATTTTTCTACATCGTTCACAAAATTCTTCGCGTTATGAAAGAGTTGTCAAATATATAGGAATAATAACTTACTCAATGAGTAAGCTTTATTTCAGTGATAATTTAATGTGGATTTAGATATGAGCCGTCGAAAGGACATAAGCTTCGCATACATATGGAAATCGAAACAATTGGTTCAACATCAAAGCGCGCAGCTGACATGGAGATCTTAACGGGTTGTGACGATAGGGCTCGATACTGTGAGGTGGACATTAACGCTCGTCGCAATCCAATCTATGAAAACGAGCGTCGCGATTGGACGATGAGGGCCAGAGCGGAACAGCTGTATCCAGAAGCAGTTCGATCGATGAAAGATCTGAGCGGCAACAAGCCTCGTCATATGATTGCAAAGGTCCATGCTGAATGGGGAAGTGATAAGAAGCAAAAGATGAAGGTGAAAATTCAAGCAGGACAAAGTGCTGAGCAAAAGAGTTTGGTGGAAAGAATAAGCGACACAATGCCAATAGCTCAGCACCACAAAGACGTTACCCTGGCTGCACAGCTCAATGAATACAAATTCCTCGCTGAATATAAGGTCGAACAACACAGTAAACATTGCCTAAACAACATGCTAACAATGTTGAGGTCATGGAACATTTGGAATTCATACTCTGAATATGTAGAGAATCCCGATAACAAACTCTACGCAAAGCTCACTGTCAACCCAGAGAAGCATCATATGGTCAACTTGGCTCTTCACACACCAACAGAACATGTCAAGCTGCACGATCTAAAATTACCGATGAATCTGTACCCATATGTTATGGAAGTGCATCAGCCAGTCACTCACGCTGACTCATTCACACGATTCTTGAAGAGACTGCTTGCAAATGATAGAGCTGAATGCAGAATTACATCACGTCGTGTCGACACGTTCGATGATGTCGAAATTAACATGCCATTAACAACGTGCTACAGTGTACTTGCCAAGGACTGCAGATCCGACAATCCGAAATTTGCGGTGCTGATGAGGAAACTCAAAACGGACTCAGAAGAAATGGTTAGTGCATTTTACAGTGAATTCAGCTCAACTGCACTGGAACCAACAAGCTTTTTTTGCAAATAGAAATTTGTTATGAGGTAGTGTATCAAAGTCTAAAACCAATATTAATTGCAGAGAATGAAAATAATCAATGAAGAGCAAGTAATCGAATTAGAGCCGATCAGAGATGAGATTGAAGTGAAAGTTGATGGCACAGAGATGACTGACGATGAACGTTTGCAAGAGTTGGGGTAAGTGATTTTAAAGAATCACAGTGAAACTGAGAATAAATGTTACGAATTTAGAATCGAGAAGAGAGATGATATGGTAACGGTTGAATTGGAAGATGTCAAGGTTCGTTTCGATGGACGAACAGCATCAATCAAACTTTCACCACTGTTCAAGAATGGTCAATGCGGTATTTGTGGAGATTATGACGGAGAGAAGATTGATGAATTACGTACAGCAGATAATGCGTTAACCGACGACTTGGAAGAATATTCGCGTAGCTATTTGCATCAAGATGATGAATGCAGTATTGAGGAGGACGTTATCAAGGAGAAAAAGTATTATAAGCTGGATGATGATGTTGATGAATGGTTGGACGATGACGAAGAGGACAGAGAGGAGCATCAAATTAAGAGTCAGTTCGAATAATTTGTTTTACTTTCTTCGCTTCTTACCGTCATTTCTATTCTTATTTAATACAACTCTAAAGTAAATTCTAAGTCTGAGAAGTACAAACAGTTTGCTTCCATACAGCAATACTTGGTATTCGTGCTCTGTCTTCTGTTTTCTACCGATGAGCGATAGTGTAAACAACACAAAGAGGAAACTCTTCAAAAAGAAGTTGCATTAATTCATAAGTTATCGCGTTCATTTCAGAACCAATCAAGCGAACGAAAATAATCGAACACAACTTCGAAGTATGTTTCTCAATGACGCCAGTATTGCAATGTCCTGAGAAGTCCTATGCTCTTAGTGATATGAAGGTTAACAAGAAAGTGGCATTCACATGCATACCGCGCACCGATCATCAAGCCACCAAACTGATTTATCGTTCACGTTTCGAAACTCTTGATATGAGCGCCTATACAAAGAGCTTCGTTGAGGAAATTGTCATTCCAGAGGGCTGTCGCACTTTTTAAACATCATTCCAGTAGTTCCACATTTCTTTGAATAATTCGTTCTCCTTCAATAAATCCCTTTCCATCGAATACATTTCTATTCGAAAAAAGGTCACTCACTCATTCCGTACATAAACTTGTAACCTTTATCGAAAGCACGCTCATAACCGTTCTCCGAATTGGGCTAAAAATTAGTGTAGACACCAATCAAATTAGTTAGCAGCCTGTATTTCGACACAAAAATCGTGTAAAACCTGCACCCTCTCAACAGATTTTGTCAAAAATTCCAGAAATTCACATCCTTCCGAACTTCTATTCAAGGAACTACGTTAGCAATTGAATAACTTAGCTGTTCACCGTTTTTTGTTGTCTTTGCAATAAGTGTATCAATGATAATAATAATATTTTTAATTGTATTATTCGTAATTTGTGACCGATCAATACGTGGCAAATAACTTCAGTATGCATATTTTTCTAACTCATTGTGATAATACAAATCAATAGTTTTTTTTTGTATCAGGTCAATAAAGTCTACTTCGTAGTATTCATTTGAACATGGCATAATTATTTGCAAATATTCCTTTCATCTCTAAACTTCAAATGATTGAAATTTCTTGAAACCATTTTCATCACTTTTTTGTTAATCCGAAATGGGATTCAGTTATCCACAGTGAATCTCGACTGTATGCATCCTAAATTCGAGAGAAGCTTCAATTTTAAAAATGGCTTCTAATACTGCCAACAGAAGTGCGTCAAAAAACCAGTCCACCGCCGGTTTCTAATCGTTCACAATAGTTGTAAACAGTATTGAACTTTACAACTGGAAGCAAAAGAAAAGTTCATCGATTATAACAATCTTCACAGTGCGATTTTCACAAATACATATGGTTGGGGTAAAAGAAGCCAAAGTGCACTTTCGTACGCGCGCGGGCCCGAATGTTCAAAGGTGAGAGAAAGAGAGGAAAACGCTTCGTAAAAGCGCACAAAACGAACGGAATGAACGTAGCCGTGAAACCTAATAACGAGAAATAGTCGTAGCATAACCTTCGCGTTTGATTCCAAATTTAATTCTCGACAAGCACAGAAGGTTTCAGGAAAATTCATTGTTTAGTTTTCGAGATTGTAACATAAAAAGAACCTTCATGAGGAGAAATAATACCTTTGCAAGCGATTGAAATGGAA